AAAAGCTAAAGTCAACAGAACAGTAGCTAAAAGCTAAAGTCAACAGAACAGTAGCTAAAAGCTAAAAATGCTGAATGCTTCAGAGTTTCAAGGGCAGTTTTCCCAGAATGCATCTGGTTGATAACTTTCCAGACTTTCAGAGAACAGAGGAGTGTTTCTGTTTTCTCTGTGACATTTTATTTTGAAATGAGACGGCAGAGGACAGTTCTGGCTCCGGTCCAGCTGGACCAGAAGGGACAGAAAGTCGGGTTTACGGTTTTCACACCTGTTCCTCCAGACCGACGGGAGCAGGAGGAGGGATGGAGGGAGTGAGTTTTCTCCAAGAGGAGAGGAGTTAATTACTACTTCCTGCTGGGCCACCCCCACAGGAAGCGGCTCTCCAGAACCACTTCCTCCTGCAGCTCGGTCCAGAAACAGTCTGAGGGACATTCCTCACTCGGAGGAAAACCATCAGACACGTAGAGAAAATCTCTAGATCGACAAATTAATTGATTTTATGTGAGAAGCTCTGATGTGTTCTACTGAAGACTCGGGGTGTTCTGGTCCAGAACTCATTTCTTTATATGTTCCTCCAAACAGTCCAGACTTTCCTGTAACCCGTTAAAACGTTCTGGATCAACAGTTGTCAGGACTTCCTGATGATCGGTCAGCTCAGTTTATTTATACAAGTCGTCTCAGGCGCTGAGCAGGAACATTCACGTACGCAGAACGGCCAATGAGTAAAGTTCTCCGTCTGACCACGCAGCACTCGTTGAATCAAGTCCAGATCCGTCAAGAGTTTTCATTTGGACTTCAGCTGGTTTTCAGTTTCAGGTTGTTTTGTTGTTTTAGACACAAATCCAGACTTTGGAGGATCCGTTTGTCCCGATTTGTGCATCTTGAAACCTCTAAATGTGTAAAGTTAAAGACGGAGCGTGTCTCACGAGGACTCGCTGCTGTTCGTCCAATTTTATGAAAAAAGTGTTGAACAGAGTTTCTGCAGAACAAACTCAATAATCAATGTCATTAATAATTTAATTAATACGACCGGATGTGTTGCTAAATCCATTTAATGACTTTTAGTGTTTTTAATTCCCTGCAGAAACTGAAGACCGGGACCAAAGCTCAGGAGAAAACCTGCAAGAAAACACCTTTTCATTCTGACCTTTGACCTCAAACTAATACAAAGAAAATAAACTAAAACATTTTAAACAAGCTTGTGTTCAATAATCACCTTTAACATTTTAATTGATTATTAAAAACTTTCAGCAAAGATTAAACAGACGAGTCTGAGGACGAGCCGTTTCCACCGACCTCAATGTTTCGGTGCTACATACCGAGGACGGTGCACGCACAAACGCGCGCGCACACACTCACTCACTCACACACACAAACGCATGCGCGCGTGCACACACACACACACACACACACACACACACACACACACACACACACACACACTGGCTGCTGTGCTGCACAGGCAGAACTTTTTACTGCGAGCAGAAACGAACGGCAACAGATGGCTGCAAGGAGGAGGGATGGAGGGATGAGGAGGAGGAGAGATAAGAAGAAGAGCAAAAACTGAAATAAGAAAGAAATAATCCCAGACAATAAATTATATTAAATCAATTTAACAGGTAAAATTCTTCTGAACTGAAACAAGAAAAGCAAAATGTATTTTTGAACACGGTCTGCTGCTTCTTTAAGCTCCTCCCTTTTATATAGCTCCTCCCACTTCTATAAATAGGAATAAATTTAAATGTTTGATTTCAAAAATCAGATTATTTCTGCCTGATTGGGTCTCAAAGGACCTCTCAGGTCTTTAATGTGTTTTACAGTAAAAGCTAAAGTTAGCATGTGGCTAATTAGCTTTTAGTCGTTTTTAATTTTGTGTTTTTCTGTTTTCAGGTGTTTCTTGTTTCTAAATATTCTAGTCGTCATCTTTGTTGATTCATACTTTTAATCTTGTTTGCTTATACTTCAGAAGCAAATATTTATAAAATAAGGACGTCCGATGAAAATTAGCCTTTAGCTACTTTTGGTACATTTCAATTTTATTTTGGTTAAATGTTTATTTTTATTTGTGTTTTTAAAAAATGTACAATAACCCTAACTGTAAATAAAATAATGTAAATAAACCATTTTATATATTTTTAAGCATTAAATTAAATTCCTGAGGTTAAAATACAAATTTATAAGAAAATATAAACATGAAATGTATGTATATTAAAAACTTTTTTATAGAAATGTAAATTCTAAACATAAAACAAAATATTTAATAATTTTTTTAATAAAATTTAAAACCATGAAATATAGAATTTATTTGATTTTTCTGTAATTTTAAGTTTTTGAAAAAGGACAAAAAATACCAATATATTTTTTAATCACAGAGCTACCAAGACGTCGAGAAGACACTTTTAAATTTATTAACTTTTACCTAATCTGTTCAGGTTCCAGCTGTTTCATGGAATATCAGTTAAAAAACAAAAACAACTTTAAAGTTGTTTTTTTGTGTTTAAAACCAAAGTTCCGACTACTGATATTTAATGTTCAGTTTTTGGATCACAACAGGATGATTTAAAACATTTTATTAATTAAAACAAAGTTAAATTACACTTATCGCAGTCACAAACCATAAAATACGACCAGTTTAGCTTGGATAAAATAAAATATTTAGTAAAACTGCAAAAACACAACTTTCATTTATTCAGTGATTTAACCGCAGGCTGTTTGAAACAAACAAATTTAAAAACAACTTGAATATGATTGTAGCTTTGATGAAAACAACTTGTTTATATAATTATAGTTGTTTAATTTTCATATCGTGTAGTCTTTACGGTCTGTGGGCAGTTTATGTTTCAAACTTTATTATTGGATATTTGTAACGACTGTGACCGTCAGGCTCACGGCAGAAGTGCCTGCAAGTCCACGCTGAGGGCAGCGACTTAACAAGCCGAGGCTCCTGCTGAGAAGCACCTGTGAGAAGATGTAACTCTGACAGGCTGAAGGAGGGAGGATGGAGAGGATGGAGAGGGGGAGGAAGGAGAGGGGGAGGAAGGAGAGGAGACGTTTCCTGACGCCCATAAATCCAGTTTGGACGAGACGGTTTGATGATGTCACAACAAATAAAAACAAGACGGACTTTGAGGAAGCACGAAGCAGCCTGACCACATCTCCTGTCTTTATATTTATATCTACATTTAAACCTATATTTATATTTAAATCTATATTTATATTTAAATCTATATTTATA